TTGCTACAGTTCCCGGTGACTTGAGAGCCGGGCTGCATTGCTGGGGCGGGGGTGGTCCTGGATAGTAATTGATTCATAACTCTACACCAGGACACCAGGGCACAACATCCCCGGCTCCCCGGGAACATCTCGGGGGAGCGGGGCGGCCGCTGCCCGCCCGGCCCGGGGTGCGGGGCTGCGGCATCTCGGCCGCGCCGAGTCTCCCCGCAGCCCGGCCCTCCTCTTCATAAAAAACATCCCTTCCTCTCTCCCCACTCCCCGCGTTGCTACCAGGAGAGATTTTGACTCTCAGAGATATAAACCTGTGCCCCGAAAAAAGTTTCGAGCGGAGCTGCCTTCAGTACCTATTTACCAACGAATTACACCGCTATTATTGCTTTCAATGAAGACTGAATCCCCAAGCGATAATTGAATTAGTCTATTGAAGAGACTGTCAGGTACAATGACGTGGTATATCCCGCGCCTTTCCCAGGGTCTATAGGCTTTGGGGACCCGGAATGTATAGTCTGACCTTACAGCTCATAATAATAATGCTGCACTTGTAGCAGAAATCTATTCGTATTCACTTTTAACAAAACCTCTGGTCAGCCAGTCCCTGTAGGAAGGATGAAATCTATTGTATTAGAACAACTCATTTATGTCCTTCAGCAAAGGCCCCAATGAAATCTGATCTAGACGTAGAAATAGGATTACCACAGCGTATATTAACCACGTTTCTATACTTCCTCTTTCCTATAAGGACGCCGAGAAAACAAAAATGCAAAGGATTTTTGATCTAATTTTAACTTTATTTTTATTTTCAATTTTAAAACTTCCTTCCTTTGGCGGCCTTCCTCAAAAAGAAGAAAAAGAGAAGATGAGAAGAAAATAAAAAAAAATCCAACTCAAAATAGAAGCAAATACAACGAAATCGGAGAAAATATTTTGCCTGGTTTCCGAAGAGACTGCGGGCGGCGCGGGCTGGCAGGGTGCGGCGGGAGCAGCGCGGCCGCTCTCGGCACACCCGACGGCGGGCACCGGCCGTCCCAGCTTGGCTCCCGGCTCCGCCAGCCCTCGGCTGCACTCCGCCCCCGGGGCTGGATGTCCTCCCGCCCCAAGCCGGGATGGCTGGGCTGACCCAAGCCCCAGCGCCCAGAGCCGGTGGGGACACCAACCTGCGAGAGACTCAGACGGCGCCGCGGCACTTCCGAGGGGCAGGAGAGCGGCAGCACGGCCCCGGCCCCGCAGCACTTTCGGGGGAGCCCTGGGTGTCCCGGCCCCTCTGGATGAGCCGATGGCTGCGCGGGAGCGGCCCCCCCTCCACAGCAGCGTGCGCGGGGCTCCGCTGGACCGGGACCCCCACGGGCGCCCCGAAACCCAGCGGCACCCTCAAGTTACAGAGGGAACTTTTTCCTAAGAAGAGATTTTTTCTTAAGCTTTCGTCCTTAAGCCACCGTGTGTAGACATATTACCCCGATTACTGTAACTACCTGCGAGCCGGGGAGTAATATTTATCTATTTAGATAGGAAGGGTCGCGATGGAAAAAATATCCAGCCTGGAAATATACATCGTCTTTTCCTTTAACCCCTCCTCATTCATCCAGTCGATCCCCCACCCCCTTCGTACACAAACCTACTCAATTTATAGAGAAGCCTTTACTATCCAGAACAGTTTCTAGAAGAAGGGAAGACTCCAGAAGACTCCAGATGAAATAATCCCCCTCCCTACACACACACGTATACACAAACACACACACACACACACACACACACGCATGCACATAGACACACTTCCCTCCGGGCGTGCTCAGGAAGGCAAATTAAATAGTTAAAGGCTTCGATTTCTCTCTCTCTCCCTTTTGTTACCCAATTTTGGAACATTTAAGGATGGGTGTGTGTATTGTATTCAATAATAAAAGCTATAGGGCCGCCAGGACATTTATCATCCTATTACTGTAACAAATCCGGGCTCCCAATACATGAAAGGTAAAATGAATTACCGACGTTAAGCCGTCAATAAAGTCATTTCTGTAAATGGTGTCTCCGAAGGACTGCAGCATTATTCAACTAGCTTTATCAGCAGCTGGGAAATTACGTGAAGAAGCTCGCAGCGTGTAATATGGCCCTGCTTACTTTGATTAAGCGTCTTGCCAGGGAATAGTGACAGTGCTTTTGACCAGGTTTTATTCGCCGTCCTGTGATGAACGCCAAGCTGATCAGGCGGAATGAAGAGTAATTAAAACCTATAAATTATCTTTTGCAGCCCTTCTCAAGGCGTCTCTTGCAGGAGAGATAAGGCAGCGAGCCCCCATTTACAGCTCTGAAAGGGACCGCGGCTCACAAAGGCTACGTGGCTAAATGGGATATTGATAGTGTCCTAATTAGAATTTAATTAAGTACCCACGCTCGCTTTTGGGATAAAGATTTCAATTTTGCTAACTTAAATATAAATAAACCCAATTTCGGTGCGAGTAAATGATATGATATTGTGAATGCAGGGGGGGTTTAACATTCATTTAATTGCGGATGAAGCTCTTGATTCCAGGGCTGATTGTATTCTGCCAGCTATTATTTTAGGGGATTATTGTGTGGCTGGAGGTAACAATTCGGTAATGTTTCTCCGGTACAGAAAATAACCGAATGTGCCTCGGAGGTGCGGACACACACACGCCTCATGGGCACCCGGGGACCAGCTGACAGACCCCCAGAAATGTCTCCTTCGATTCCCGGTGCCGGTCGCCCCCCGAACGCGGAGCCACGAGCCGGGCCGCTTCCCCGGGGCTGCTCCCGGGGATGGAAGAGCGCCCAGCCGGTGCAGCACGGCGGGGCGAGGCAGGGGAGCCTCGCTGCTGCCGGCACCGCAGCTCAGCCCGCAAGGAACCGCCGAGATGTGGACACACAGGAATAGAGCTATAGGTGTATTTTGGGCCCGCACCCGTGCACATATAGGATCCATAGGCGGCGGCACGTGACGCCTTTGGAGAGGCGCGGAGAGCTGCGCGGGGGCCCGCGGCCTCCCCGGACCCACCGCCACCCGGCCGCCGTTTTGGGGAGGGGGTAAATGGGGGGATTCGGTTACGTCAGGATGAGAAAACGCCCGGAATTGCCCTTCCCGCAGCTCCGGGACTCTGCCGCGGGCAGGAGAGCGGCTCCAGCCGGAGCAGGTGCCTACGGCCGGCCGGGAAGCGCCGCTGCTCCGGGCACCTAGCCCGCCCGGACCTCCTCCGCTGTGTAAAATGTGGGGTGTCGTGGGACCCCCATCTCCAATGCTCCTCCGTGTGAGCACCTTACCGCAGCGACTCGGCTCCCGCGGCCGTGAGCGCTTGGGGCCGGGGCAGCAGACTCCGGCTGCGGCAGAGCCGCCCTCGCTGTGCCGCTTGGCTGCTGCCCCAGCGGTCCAGCAAAAACAGAACTGGGACCAGGGTGTTTTTGTTTATTTTCTGCAAATTCATTTTTAGACAGTTGCATCAATCCTGAAAAAGTAGCTTTTTCTTCCCATCCCTTAAAATCCTTAAATTTTTCGTCTGCCTCAACACACGTCCCGAAGTGCTCGTTCCCTGCCGGGCAGAAAAACCAAAACAAAACCAAACAAGAATACCAGGGAAAAAAAAAAGCAACAAACCGAAACCAAACAAATAAGCAAACATCAAAAAGCAGACGATGAAATATGATACGAGTTCAGCTGTGAGCTGGAGCTGATCTGTTTCGTATTCCGAAAAAAACCCTCAAACCCAGCAAAGTCACAAGCCAGAGAGAGGGTTCGGCCGTGAGACCAGCTTGTCCCGGCAGTGCCTCCTGCCTTTATTGCTACTTATTGTTATTATCATTATTATTATTATTACTGCAATTTTTTATTCCTCAAAACCAAAAAGATGTGATTCCGGGGAGCTTCCACCCGGCTCGCCATCTCGCCGCGCTGCCCAAAGCCGCCGCGGGAGAACAGAAAGCAAAAAAGAAAAAGAGGGGAAAAGCGCACAGATTTGGGGGGAGGGGGTGTTTATTATCGCTGGGGCAACAGGAAAGCGGCCGATGAGCAAATCTCCGCCACCCGCGGAGGACACGGCGTGGCTGGAAGTTGTTGTTTGCGGGGCCAGTCGGGGGTCGGTGGGAGGGGGGGTCCCGGTTCACGCGCGTGGGCGCGGTGCGGTGCCCCCGCCCCGTCGCGGCGCTGCCGCCGCTGCCGCCCGTCCCGTCCCGCCCGGTGCCGTCCGCCCCGTCCGGTCCCCTCGCGGTATTTATGGCGGCGGCACGGCGGGCGCCCATTGGGCGCGGCGCGGGGTGTCAGCGGCGGCGGCGCCGCGCCATTGGCCGCCCCCACGTGCGGGGCCACCTCACGTGCTTCCGGTGCGAGTGAAAAAAGTGTGGCTGAGGGATTTTTTAGGGAGAGTTTGGTGC